AGTAGTGTTCTGCAGCCAGGTTGATGCTGTTTCTTGATGCGAAACCACGGACCCTAAAGTTGGACCAACGCACATTCAGGGCAGTCTATCATGAGGCTGGCTGTGCGTGTTGCAGTAGTGGGGTGTACCAGGTCAGGTGAGACTTGCGAACTGCAGTGTCCCGATGAGCAGGAACTCAGCCCGCGTCCAAGCTTTTCTTGGTACGTTCCCTAAGCATGTTATGGGGTCATCCCATTCTGACACAACCTGCAGGTGACAATGTCACCTGCTACCTGGGCAACCTCAGTGACTTTGTTTGTCATCAACTCAGCTGTCAAGACCGTTGACGCACGTCGCCGCTTGCGCGTGTGCAGCTTGTAAAACTAGGTTCTGTAGTCTAACTCCTCTAGACTCTAGACATGAGGTACCCCTCAGAATGACCATATTCGTAGAGATGCACTGCATCTTTCGAGTAAGCCTCAAAGCATTTGTGGCGTGCTCTATGCTAGCTAAAGACAGGATTCAGGATGGCATCAGGGCCAAGAGCCATGAGGGCGTGGCATCGGGCAGGGTTGACATCCAGGCATGACAAGCCAGTTGCTACTAGACCCAGCAAAGTGGTTCGGAGCCCCGCGTCACAGCGATCCAAGCGCCACAAGTCGAGTTTAGCAAAGTAAGTCGCACGCTTGGATGCTGAGAACCGAGCAGGTTGAGCACAATGAAACCAGACTTCGAGATCTAATAGGCTGGAGTCAGAGCTTTCTAGCCTCTCCTAGTATAATGGCAAAGCCCGCATGTTTTCGCTGGCTTCGCTGGCATTGGCGCTGGCTTGTGGGAGTGCTTCTAACTGTGTTGGTGGTGATCCTCTACTTTGTCCGTCCTGACTTCGGAGCCATTCTTGGTGCGACATGGCTCTACTTCATGGCCCGCTACATCCTCAAAGACCAAGCGTCTCCCTTTCCCCGCCGAGTCGGTGCGACTTTGGTGGTGCTGATGGTGCTAGGTTCCACGTTCGTCATGCTGATTCCATGGATCTTCTTTGGTGGGCGAGATGGATGCCGGTCATTTGACCCAAGCATGAAGAATGAATTTGGATATGCATTTGAGGACTATTGGACACTGCGCTCTTGCCAGAGTGCTGCGGACTGGCTCATGGTGCTTGCCCTCGCCTGCTCGCTCATAGCCGATCATTCACCGTCCAGCTACGTGCGCGAATCCATCCGATGCATCGCCTTCATGTTCCTAAGCATGCTTGTGAGGAATGCAAGCTTTGCGGTGTACGCGTGCTCAGGCAGCGACGAGAACTTGGATGGTGTGAGGGACAATGTTCTACTTCGTGACTTCAGACACCTTGAGTACCACCTCGTGGCACGTTCGACGGCGGTTTTTTCAGCAGGAGCATCGCTCCTGAGCAACGTGTGGTGCCTGCAGCTGGTGGTGGCACGGATGAAGGCACTAGAGGACGCATACGGCCAGCCCTTGGGTTGTACTAGGTTCATTGGCTGGAGCGCGAATTTCTTTGTCTTTTGGCTATTTCTGCTGACTTTGCTTCAGGCGACCTCACCCAATATTTTGCTGGTGATCTGTGTCTTGTGCTCCTTGGACCTCGCAGTCCTTAGTCTTCTGATTTTCCGGGCTTACTGTGCACCGCTGAAAGTCTTGCGAGCTGCGAAGATGGACAGGATTGAGGGGCCCACAGGGCCACATGGAGTGTCAAATCAGCTGGAGAAAGAAACGGCTTTCGCCATCCGGGTGATCATCCAAGCGCAGGTCGCCACCCTCCTGGCGAACTTCTCCATGATGTGGCACATAACCTCTTGGGGCATAGCTTTGGTGACCCAGACCCGGGGCGGGTTCCATGCCTACTTGTATGGCGTGATTGCCGACACCATGGGAAACACGATAGGCCTCCTGCTGCTCATCAGCAGCTCCCTTCGTTTCCCTCTTGCGGAGCCAAAGCAGAACGCAGCAAGAGATGCCGAGGACGATTCCGCGTACCAACGTGAGCATTACCTTGGCAGCACCAAGATGCTTGCGGCTTCGGGACCGCCAGAGCCGCCAGAGCCAGATGCAGGGGCGCTTTCCGAGAGAAGCGCCTGGGAGCGGAAAGTGAAAGAGTTGGCTTCTCGGAGGATCTCTGCAGGACAGCTTTTGGATTTTTACGCCCGCCTCGGAAGGCAAGAGGATCTGATGCCACATTTCGACCCAGCGAAGTCCACAACCAACGACGTGGTGCCTTGCCTGCAAGCATAGACTGCTTCGAAAATAAGTAATAACGTAACCTGTGGTGTAGAACGCCCGAGGTAAGAACGACAGAGGACATCCTACCTATTGACCTAATGAAGACCCAAAGAAGGCTGCTCGCCCTTCCCTCCAGAATCATTGTATCCTTTCAACATCCGTGTGGAGTTTCGGTTTGAAAGGGCGGCCCATCCTTCGAAGTGTTACGCTCCCAATTTAGCAACTTGAGTTTTCGGGGGACCTGTGAAACAGACCCCGAAACCCCGAAGCATACCCCCGGGACAGAATGTAGGGTTCTGACCCTGAAACATAATTTTACCACCGAAAAACACCTTGAAACATGCTCCGAAGCCTATGGCCCGAAACAGACCCCGAGACAGAAATCAATCGGCCGATCCTTTTTTTTCCAGGATCTGGCTGGGATGATCATGCACTTAAGTCGTCCCCTTAACCCTCCAACCCGTCCATATACCGTTATTGCTGTTCTAAGATCAACTAAAGAATCCCAGCCAAAAGCACTCAACAATGAGAGGGTCGCAAGATGTGCACTACCAACACCCTAAAAACACCCAGCAGCGATTGGGGACGCCCAAGTTGAAGAATTGATAGCAACACTAGAAGGGGTATAGACCCCGGCTCATATGGGCAACTTGAACGTCGTGTTGTCAGTGTAAGAAAAAAGACGGAGGTGCAAAGAACGGGCTCTGTTGTGACACGCAGTTAAGAACTTTCGTGACAGGTGCGTCAGGCCATTATCCCGGAGTCTCGGCTCAACAACCTGGGCAGCTCCTTGGCCGAGGTCTTCCAGCTCCGGCTTCGCAAAGGTGTTTCGGAAAGTTCTTGGCTGCAACCGGCTTGGCCAATGCGCTCTCACTCGGCGGTCGCCCACTCTGCAGCCCCGAAGGCCCCCCGCATGGTGACTCACCACTGGGCCAACCGCTTCCGAGACCTCGTGGCCGTGGTATTGGCTGATGGCCTCGGTCTGAGGCGCTGGGACCACCTGGCAGAAGAGCTGTCTAACGGGAAGGAAGAAGAGATAAAAGCCCGGCTGCACGCCCAAGGATCACTAGGCATTGAATACTGGATATGTGCCTTCTGCATAAACCAGCACGCTAGCATTTGCGCCAGCTCCAGGGGCGTCGTCGACACTGTTACCGGTGAGGAACTGCCCTCCTGTGACTGTGCTACGCCGAAGTTCTTCAATGACATGCCGATTCAGTGTGAGCTCAACAAGTTCGACGACATGATGGCGCATCTGCACCGAAGCTACAAGCACGGCTTCCTTCAGGTGGTAGCGGTTGATGAGGGCTTTCAGGTCTTTTCTAGGGCTTGGTGTGTGGCGGAGCTGATCCAGGCCAACAGTTGCCGCTTGGACCAGCGGGTGGTCCTCCATTCGCCCGAGGCGCTGGAGCAACACTCCGGGCAGCTCGTCTCCCTGAAAGTGGAGAATTGCTCAGCCTCCCGGCCCGAAGACAAGCAGGCGATCCTCTCGAAGATCGGCGGAGCCACAGAGATCGCGCAGTTCAATGCCACACTCCAAAACCTGCTGCTGGGTGCTCAGGGTCTCCTGGCGGGGTGGTTGGACGGCCAGCAGCTTTTGCAGGAGGTGGGCGCCATCGCTGCCCGTGCTCGGGCACGTGGAGAAGCACGGGCCAGCCACCCAGAAGATCCAGAAGCAGCAGAAGAAGACTATCTAGAAATCTAGAAGCAGAAGAAGTAGACTTCATCCAAGTTTATTTCTAATGAGTTCTTGGAGCTTCAACCAAAGCGATTCTCCTATTTTTCAGCTGCGTTGCCGGCGGCAGCAAGGGCTGTTACCGGGCAGCGAAGCTCCCTTAGGCGCCGTCTTCGAACGTAGATGGGCGCTATGTCCACGAGGATGTTGCAGTTGCGGCAGCTTTTGGCAAATGTCCAAAAGCAGAGGTCCAGGCAGTAGTTGGCCTAGCTTTTCCCAAGCACGGGAATGTTTAGCGGTACAATTGGGCCAATATTGCCAGAACCCGGCGTGTCGGCGCTTGGTAAAGGGGCGTGAGGGGTGAACCTGCAAGGGGTTTGACCTGTAAACCGGCAAGGAGCTGAAGCGGTAAAATGACAATCGAGTTCTCTATGCTAAGTAGATGTTCGCAGGGGAGCCATGCCCCCCGTGAAATTGCAAGAGTCAAACGAACATTGCCGAGCCCTGGGAATACCAAACAGGCCTCACACTTCATACTTAGCCAGTACTAGTTGATGACCCCATGCCTCTTCGTTTAAGGGGTGACCTCAGGGAGTGGTTTGTACTGAATTGAAACCGTATAGATCAAAGGTCCGCAGATCCTGGGAGCCTTGCACTTTGGTTGATAAGCTGATCGTGACCTAGAGCTAGATTCTAGATTCTAGATGATCCTGGATGGTCTGAGTCTAGCAATTTACGCCCTTTAGCCGACGGCTCACTCGGAACATACGACCGAGGAGCTGAATGCTTCGAACTGTCCTCTGGTGAGATCATTGCTTCGGCCAGCTTTTCCCAGAGCAGGATTCAGCCATGTCAGAAAGATGTTTCAGAACAGACGTCAATTGAGCTTGACATCAGGGCGGGTGTGCCAAGTTGAGGTACTGATCTGACCATTCCCACCTTAAGCCCAACTATAAGCCTTTTAAGCTTGAAAGTCTCTAAAGCCAGGAAGTAATGAACGCCGTCCCACGTCACACGGGTCTGAATGGGTCCGAGTGCAAAGTGAAGGAGCCCGGGGTATGGATCCAGGATAAGCCACGGCTCCGCTGGCCAAGTTCTCGCTTGTTGCTTTGTCTTGAGATAGAACAATCAAGGACAAGTCAATGAGCTCTTCGAAGCCTCGCCATGCATATTATTTGCATCATACTTTGTGTAACATAAACCGGCTCAGGGTTCCGTGCAACAACCTCCAGTCAGCAAGTAGTACCAAGTAGCACAGGCCCATGAAGACAAGTGTTGATGAACTGAGCGGCTCAGGGTCGATCTAGAGTCCTACAGGCCACCAAAGTGAATGAAGCAGCTGGTACCTGAATGTCATAGTTTGCAAAGCAGATGGCGTGCTGATTTCCTTTTTGTGTTCGAGACCAGGCATACCTGCCGGAGGGTGGCCATGTCCGGCTGGGCATCAGGCATGACCCATCATCACCCATAAAGAGACAATGTCAGCTGCTGGTATGTCAGAACTAGCAGAAGTGCCGCTGTGCAGGTCAGCACCGATTCGCCGGCTACATGTGTGCCACTTGCTGAAACTTTGCCTCATACGCTGCAGCATGCAAAGGATGCAAAGGCAATGTTCGGTTTGAGTGAAGCTGGCAGAGCAGGCCGCTCCTCCTTCAATGACCAGAGATGATTTAGGTACGGCGTTGGATAAGAAACTCCTGTATCCGAGACAGGGTACCCTGAATTTCTTATTTAGATAGCGCTCGGTTCAGGGTCATAAGTGATACCCGCCAGGTTTAGGGTACCCTGAATTTCTTATCGGAATCGCACCGTGCGCCTCTGACTCTGACGCCGTCCAAGGCTCAACATGGACGAATGCGAAACTATCGCCGATTTGCCGCACAACCCTCCCGAGCCTATAAAAACCAGGAAATAAGAAATTCAGGGGCTGAATTTCTTATTTCCTTGGTTTTTGGCCCGACCAAAAACACAGGAAATAAGAAATTCAGCCCCTGAATTTCCTATTTCCTGTGTTTTGGTCGGGCCGAAAACCATGGAAATAAGAAATTCAGCCCCTGAATTTCTTATTTCCTGTGTTTTTGGTCGGGCCGAAAACCACGGAAATAAGAAATTCAGCCCCTGAATTTCTTATTTCCTGTGTTTTTGGTCCGGCCGAAAACCAA